ACCATAACAGTGTTTGGAATGAGAACAAGCCCGATAGTGTGTTTTCCTGCTCTGACACGCATGTCCTTACATGTAGAGCGGCTGTGACAGAAGAAACGTGATCCGGCAGTACACCTACTTACAGCGGGCACACCCAGAGCCCCGGGCATCCCACTGTTTTCTCACCTGTAATATGAAGTCACTCACTGCTCTCTGTGCTGTGTGATGACATTAGCTTTATTCATGTTAAAGCTGTTATCATGGTGTTTACAATCTAGTTTTGCTTGAACACAGTTTAAAAGTGAGAGTTGAAGAATGTTTAAATATAATACAGTGTGAGATGTTGTCACTAGGATAATTAAAGGTCATGTACATACTTTTATTTCTTCTAGTTCAGGGAAACAGTGTGTTGTAAAAACTATTTGTGTATAATTACTATGTAAGATATTGCCTTCCCATTCCAGTAGGCATTTTAATTTATGAGAACTGCATCGTAATAAAACAGACGTGAAACCCCATGTAGTTCATTTGACTGTGTTTACATAATAAGAACCATATGGAAGAACTAGAACGAGACTGTTGTTTCTCTGTCATGGTGCAACATTTGAAGGATTTTTGTGGCCAGAGTTAACAGTTCAAACTAAACCATGTTCCTCTCTCGTGGCCCAAATCATGTACAAAACCTTTACAGCAGCTATAGACCATTTGTGAGTTATTAGTGAGAATATTGAGCACTCACACATACTTGACTCTTGTGCTTACATGTTTCACTCTCACTGTCTAGCTAGAACATATTGAGATTTCTTAAGTAAATCCTGCTTTCAATGAGTTACAGAGTTAACATAAAACTAAGTTCAATGTATCTCTTTGTCACTTCTGGTACTCCATGTCAAGCCCTTTCTCAACAGACCGTCCCACTCCAACAGAATCAAACCAATAGTGTGAGTGAAGTGGGGTTTGTTCAAGATAACCTGTATCATGGTCCTCAAACAGAGCGGTGCAGCGTTTAGTGTAAACATGAGTGTTGATAGACTCTTGTGTTACACTGCTGTGACCTGCAGTCGGTTAATAATGATATGAGAGAGTGCACAGTCAGCCATTTTCAAATAATTAATATGGAAAAAACTGCATGTTGACAAAATAGCTGTTTATGTCAGCATGATTGCTAACTGAGCTGTTCTGTTAGCATGGTGCTCTGTACGTACCAGTTCACCTATAAGATCAGTTCAGTCATAGCATATACCATTCAAACAAACACACCCTCAACTGTCAAAAGATTAACAATCAAACACAATACAACAAGCTACACAGGTTCATTCATTTTCAAATAAAATAGTAGATTCTCCCAAATCACTTGTGTGTTTGTGATTTCATTCCCAGAAGCACACAAAATAGTGAAAAAATGAAGAATAGATACAAATTTACAATCTGTAGGAGCCCTTCAAATAATATAGAAAAATATTACTAGAAACAAAAATATGGTAAGCATAGATAGGAGAAAAATAAATAAATAAATAAATAAATATATACAAAAAAAAAAAAAAAAAAAAAAAACAAAAAAAACAATGGCAAGTCACATGACGTTTCTTGTGACGTCATGTGAGTTGCCGTAACATAATACGGAAGCCCGGGACGCTCGGGTGCCAGATGGATTAATTAAAATCACTCTTGTTATTTTATTTTAGTTTTTTTAATAAGTCTATTAAAATAAATAATAAATCTGTTTAAATAACTCGATTTATTAAAATAAATCGGATTGACTCAGGGTTGGCCTTGGCCGACCTAATAGATCCATGTGACTGACACGGAGGAATGTCTGAGCAGCAATCAAGTGTGCAGCCCTGTTGCGATGGCTATGGGAGGAAAACTCGGGGAGGCTGGTAAGTGAAACACTGATGCAAGTGTGCGTGTGCATGTACAGTATTTTGGCACAGTGGCCTCCCCGCGCTGACTGACGGGACTACATCACATTTCTATTATTAAGCATTAATTTTATTGGATTTTTTTATTGATCAAAAATCCCTTGACAAATTTACATTGTTAGCATCAGTGGCTTGTCTACACTGAAATTGAGTTTATTGCCATACTGAACATCTCCATGGACACAAGCAGAACAGCACAGAACTAAGAACTTAGGTAATCCTTAACTCCAAAAATGCATACAGTTTAACAAAGTACAACACTGTAAAAAAAATTGTAGTATATGTATATATATATATATATATATATATATATATATATATATATATATATATATATATATATATATATATATATATATATATATATATATGATAGATATATAGATAGATAGATAGATAGATAGATAGATATATATATATAGTTTAAACCATTTCCTAACATGTTCGTACAATGTTGTATGTTGGCATAAAAGCTGCCTTGTCTTGGCCCCATCTACACCATACCTCATATGTTCCAACATGTCCCTGAAACGTTATAAATTCCACTCTGCTTTTGTATTCAGTCTTTGCTGCAGTTTCACAGTCTTACATTTGCAAAAAAAAAACAAATCTCAATTTGTGTATCCACTGAAATATACTTTATCTTTGATTAGCATAACATTAAAACCACTTGGCTAAGAAAGTAATTGTAATGTTATATGACTACTTGTTATATCCTGACATACTATATTGATTTCAGTCACTGTAGTCTATAGGATTGGACAAATATTCTCCACATTGATCCACAGTTACTTATCACTACAGAGAATACCGCACAAAAATGTATTTGGCAGTATTAACAACCTATCACAAATTCTCAGTCACCTTAGTTTGGCTATTTTATTTCTTCAAAATGTTCCTCTTACTTAATAAAATATCTTATTCTATTCAGTGAAGAACATATCAATGTACATATTGTATCGGTGTAGGCCTATATGACACATTTCAGTGCTATTTCAAGCTGTCAATCTCTGAGCAAGTTATCATTAGGGGAAATTACCGCAGCTGAGTCTCCATCTTCGTCATATACGAATGGATTTGTGACACTGGTTTAAAAGCAGTGTTCATTTCAAAGATTATTATAAAGCATGATATTGAGTTTTGCATTTAACGATGCATTTTGTAACATTTCTGATGGAGAATCAAATGCTTTTCTCCATGGAGATGTTATTGCTTTGTCTGGAATGTTTCACAGTATGGCATTAAACCTTTCTATCTCAATGGAGACCAAACCAGACCGAGTTACAGGTCAGATCTATGGAGAGGTGACCCCACTCATGTCAGAATGCCTGTTTTCTAGTTATTTCAGAGTTATCAAACCATCTGTAGTTTAATAAGTATAAGGAAGAGCTGTTTAAATGACACACGGTGGGACATCTGGCAGAGCAATGACATACAAAATCTACTGAAACAAGCAGTTGACGGACCCCAACCGAAAAGTTACATACTGCACCTTTAAACTTCAACTCGAATTATGTTATTTTGAAGCATACCTGATATAGCAGTCTCGGTTTCTTGCTAACTCCACACGCTGTTCATTTTGAGCGTATGTTTTTAAATACCAGTGTGTATTTGTAGACTCATAGATACATGAAGATCTTGGTTGGTTGGTTGTCTTCTACAGTCTGGACAAACAGCTGGAGCAGATGTGCAGAGCTGTGAAGTGTCTCTAATAGTCGAATGGCTGAGTGATCTGAACAGACTGTGCTGCCTCAGATTAGGCCTTAGTAAGTGGAATGAATCATGCATTTATGAGCTATTGTGCTAGCTTGGTACAATAGCCCCTTCAGAATAGCGGCATTCATGGCCACAAAAAGAGCTGTGAAATTTCGTATGATTTTATTGGTTATATGAGTTGCAGTGAGTCACTTCAAACTTTTGGGCTGCTCAAATGCATTGCTTATGACAGATAGAAGCATTAATATTGGACAATCAGATGGATCGCCTTAGAAATCTGCAGATATAGGGAAGTAGGTGCCATATTGTGGTTATCATATGTTGTTTCCATGACTTGTTTCACAGAATGATCCATCTTTACCCATCATAAATTTATCCACTAAAGGCTTATTGCTTTTTTTAGTAGTTTCGCATAGGCTATTTTCTTCAGAGTTGCAATCGTGTCTGGCAAAAAATGATTTGGTTATAATGTGCTTTTGTACAGCCCTCAAGCTTAAAGTCATTGTTCTTCTTGTCTGTCATTACGAGATCTGGCTTTGATAAGGAGATAAGGAAACATGTTTTGTAACTTTGATATGTCAGCATAACGTAACATCAAGAATCAACAAGGATGTGAGCTGAATCTCTGAAATCATAAGGTGGAACTGACAGCACAGACACACTCATAGCACACACATGTGTTGATTATGTGGCAGAAGTCGAACAGGGTGTGCTCTTGTTTATCCTAAACACAAAAGGTGTTGGCCAGGCAAAAGGACCTTGTACTGTATTATTCTTTTTCATATCATTTCAAAGCCACACTTTTTGCACTGCACTGGGACAAAGTCAAACTGTCAAAGTGTTTAAGATGTCATTATGTAACTCTACAATGATAAATCCGTTACTCCCCAAACCTGCACGTTGGAATGTCATACAATATAATAATACCCAGGGGCAAAATACAGTAATAGTCTTTATGGCCTTTTAAACTAAGCAACAAATACTCCTAGAAAAGCAATATTTCTTGTCAATCTTAATGCTATGTATTGTCCAAAAGTATTAGATAAAGAGTGGAGCAATTCTAATCAAATGAACAAAACCTTGTGTCCAGTCTGAGTAGCCACACATTTGTATGTGTACATTGCAACAGTAATTTATAATTGATAGGCCTGTTATTAATACCCAACTCATTAACTATGCATTAACCCAATTCAAAAAGGTATTGTAAGAGGGATAGCCTATACTGGCTGACTACGGTCACGTATACTGAAGTGAAAGTGATCTGGACGTGACGGAGTGTACTATGCAAATGATTAAAATCCTGACTCGTGCTATAGGATTTATAAAGCACTTGAACTCATGACATTCAGATTGAGAGATTGTTAATAAGTGTATGGCACTTACTTGGTCTGGAGAGGTGATCCTTTGAAGCTGCGCACTTTACCTGGACAGGTAGAGCTGTGAGCGGCTGTAACTTTAAACCACAGCCCACAGGAGGCAGGCTCAGCAGAGTCAAGTGACTCAGTCAAGAGGACTTTGTCCGACTCATTCTGTCCTGTGATTGGCTGAGACTCTTCTGCACAGTAATGTAATCCATTGTGGATCTGAGGGGAATTCTGCTCCACAGGGAACACTGCTTCTGTGTGAGCCGGCCCAAGGTGAGCAGGAAGCAGTCACAGCGGGCGGAGCCAGCACAAAGGTAAACAAGAAGTGCCCAAACCTGTTCAGGACCAAGTCAAGATTATTCTATAAAGTTCTCTTAGGTTAACCGGACACACAATGGATATGATCACAGACTTTGGAACAACTCAAGTGTCTCTGTCTCCCAAGGCAACAAAAAAGTAAAGTTTGCCACATTTATTACATGTGAATGATCCCTTAATAAAAGAAAAAAAAAAAGGATAAAAAAAATACTAAAGCTCTCGTTGACTTTGAATAGGACATGTGTCGTGAAGTGGGGCAACCTAAACTTATGTTATACTCTCCCATTTATGCGCATGCTTATTTCTTATGCTCATGTCTATTATTTAACTGTCTGTCATAAAAGAAGAATGAAACTGTATTAAATAGTGTGAAGTGTCCTGTAGAAATAACCGCTCTCCTCCACATTCTGACTGGTGCTCACTGGTATTTCGTAGCAGGTCTAGGGTGGATTTCCTTTGGACTTTTGTGTAAACAATGAGCCGCTGCTGCAGACTCCTCTTCAAACAGGAAGCCCATAATCTCACTAAATGACAACATGCCTCAGATAATACTAGCATGTACTTCACTGTGTACTGTAAACTGGTGTGATACTTTTACTGTACTCATTGTTGTGGCTTTCTTTGACAGTACCATATCATGCGCCAGTCTGGCACGAGATGTATAACAAACATCTTTGGGCCTTTCCTAAACCTTGTGCTGTTTAAAAAGTGAGCCACAGGTGCTTCAGACACACACTGCTCCAAGTGATGGCCTCTGTATGAGTCACTCCACCAAACATGAACACAACCAAAGATCAGCCAGAAATGTTATCTAAATACTCACAGGTGCATTGTGCAAGTGGTGAGATTATAGTATTGGCTTGAAATTTAAAATAGTTAAATTTTTAGACTTTTTACAGGTTTGATATATAAAATTGCTGGATACTTTTGACATTTGGGTCATCTGGGTTCCAGAATACAAACTTCTTCAATACTTTACAAAGATGTGAGTGTGGTCACCAGTGAATCTCTCCATTTTCAAAGGAATGTGATTGACAGGTGGATTAGCCAGTCAGGGACACGCATGGTTTGTTGTATTGGAAAAAAAAATCACAAGGGACTTGAAATCATCCTGGATTTCTGCATTTGTAAATGATGGGTGACCAATCAGCTCTTTCATCTCACATGCCATCACGTTTGACCGGGCTTGAGATGGGACGGAGGGCGTGAGGACCAGATGTATAAAAAATACAGAGATTCCATTATGGATTTAATGTGAAACTTTTAGGGTTATTTCTGCTCAGAAAAGTTCTACCCAAGCCAAATTAAAATGACACATAGAGGTAGTTGAAAGATAGTACTTTAAAGGTTTGAGCAGTCTTTGTTTATGCTAATGTTGATGCAAATGTCACTGCAATTTTTTCATTCTGATTTGTACCTCAAGGCATGTGTGTTGTTTCAAGTATTCAGTAACTTCTGATGGAATAGCCTTTAATATGTGCTACCAGTCAAACGTTTGGACACTCTCATTCAGTGTTTTCTTTATTTTTCCTACTTTCTGCTTTTATATACATACGGAAGACATCAGACATATGAAGGAAGATATATGGAATTATGTAGCAAAGAAAAAAAAGGAAGATAACTCTACAAAATATTTTTTAATACGTATTTTTATTCAATATTTAACTTTTGTTTTCTTTTTTACATAATTCCATATCTCATTTCATATAGTTGATGTCTTCTATATGTATAAAATTGAAACACTGAAAATACTGAATGAGAGAATGAGTCCAAACCTTTGACTGGTAGTGTCTCTGTGAATCAGGTTTGAATTCAGGAGATAATACCAGAAAAATGTTTATGTAATAGGCAAACTTTTTTTTCCCAACCTTTTCATGTTCTTATTACTACAAATTGTGCATTTGTACATGGGCTATTTGTACAATTAAGAAATACAGCATTATAACATAGTTCTTGTGATTGAATGTCAAGAGTGATTATTAAATGTGAGTGAACACTGTTGTGTCCTTGCCCCAGGTCCATAGTAGCTGGCATGGTCTCCAACCACAAACTACCCCCCAAAGGCAGTAAGTGGATCCTGGATGAATCACAGCCTCTTCACATGTTATTTTTCCGGCTCTTTTTCCATCACAGTTGTTGAATCCATCTTTGTTTGATTAGCAATTAATCTTGACGGCAGCGTTGAAAAGACCAACACAACAACATTAAAATCAGAGCAAACTTTCTTTTTTATTGTCCTCTAATCAGTCATAAAACTCCCCTGCTGACCATCCTGGGGCAAATTACAGCTCTTTTCCAGGTAGAACCACCTCTGCCTCTGCATATTACAATAATAGTATCCAATGAGTCAGATCTCTCCTGTCGGCAGCCCACTACCATAGCTCCTAATGTGAAGCTTGTTTTGCACTAGTCTGCATGAAAAAAAAAACAAAAAAACAAAAACACCAAAACACACATACAAACCAAATATGTGGACTTGGAGATGTTGTTTTGCCTTCTAATCTGTTATAATGTTGTTTTGTCATTCATGTTTATCACAAAACCCTGCATATTTAGGCTGAGTTCTTCTCTCAAACAGAAAACACTCCACAGTTTGACCTTATGATGTCATGTGATAACACAGGAAATGCTCTACTTTGTTTTTAAACTCCATGCACCTTCACTAGAATAATTTGGATGAGTTTAACCCTGGAATTGCCTTGTCAAAAATATGGTATTAAACCTGTTTATCTTCCTGGTGAAGCACTTTAAGGTGAAGCGTGAAGCTAAAGGCCATGCTACTGGTAAGGTCTGTGGAGATGCGAGCCAGTGTTTATATACAGTTTCTAAAGGATTTTATTTTTTATTTTTTTGCAATACAGTAATCATATCTGATAGATACAGTATTTTCAAAGCCATACTGTGGAGCATAGCAATTAAAGCAGTAAAATTTCATTCACCTGTTTCTATAGTCAAATTTTTACCATTTTAGTATAATTTAGTGTAATTACAGAATAAGTTAATAACTACTGCTGACTTCCACATCATGACTTGGTACTGCTCTCTTGCTCAGACAGAAGACTTTAGTGATTTTTAATGTAGGTTAGTCTGACCTTTAAAGCTGTCACCCCTTCTGTTTCCTTTTCACATCTTAGACTACTTTTATATTCATGTCTTATGTACAAAGACACTTTTAGAAATGGTCCAAAATGTGCAGTTTCTTTGAGATTTTCTTGGCTCTTCTGAAGTGTCAGTGCTGTAGCATTTGTGCTGAGAGAGCTGGACTTATCTAAACAACAGCGGGTGAAACCAATCTCCTCTTATAGTAGACCTGAAGAAGGCACATGGGCACAAGTCATTCTAAGAATACTTAAAGCTGCACTATGTAACTTTTGTGGAGGATTTACTTGGCCCCATGGAGATGTTATTGCTTTGCCAAGAATGTTCCACTATAATTTTATGTGTGAGAGACTTGTTTAAGAGCACACGTCAGCTCACCCGTTGTAGTTTCAACTAAGTCAGCTCTTTATGATCAGATTGTGTACCCCTCGCAGCTTTGCACCCCCGTCCTAGTCGGTGGGTCTGTTGTAGTGAGCGCTTGACTGTGCTGAAGTCATGGAAGTGTTTTGGGTTTTTTTTTATGCTCTCTACCATACTATTAGCCTGATTCATCAGCCGGTTTCACTTCATAGAAACCGTCTGACCTTGCAGTGTTAGAATTCATTCACTAGACAGTAGGCGAATACTTTTTTAATTTAACCAATCGCTGCTATTTGGTTGTGACGTATGTAATACAGCGCTAATGGGGCTAACTGGTATATAAAGCTTTTCCCAAATCCCGTAAGAAGAAGAGCAATAACGTCTTTCTAATCAATCTTAGCTGATTGGCTGGTGTCTGGACTTGCACTTCTGGGGTTTTTGCAAACTGTGTAGTGTTTTCCGATTCCTGATCTAGTCGCTGGAGAGAAATGAAATTGAACAGAGGTAATAGGTGGCGCCAGGCTGGCTACCATACTATGCTCTGACAGGAGCATGGTCTGGGCTGTTTTTTTCCTCCTCCCCCTGTCCTCATGTTATGCTGCAGTGTTTATTCCTGTCTGCTACCTGTCTTCTGGTTCGGTCCACGTAATCTTCCCTATATTGTATTGTATGTTTGTAATGTACGGATGTGACAGGTCCAATTTCAATTCCTTTGTATGCACATGTACATGTGAAGAATTTGACAAATAAAGGCCATTATTCATTCATACAGTTGCACAGCACAATTTTTCTTTCTGGTGGAGGGTCTGCCGCCTTCTTGTCTCCATGGAGATGTTATTGTTGTGCCTGGAATGTTCCATGATATGACAATAAATATATCCATCTAGTTTGTATTTCTGTGAATAGAGGTAAATCTCCACAGATCTGAATTGTAATGTACTGTAGTGCTGTAACCTGCTTGTTCCTTTTGTGATAGATAAGTTTAATTCATACTGTGGAACATTCTAGAGAAAGCAATAACATTTCCATGGAGAGAATCAGGTGGTGGACCCTCCAATAGAAATGTTACACAGTGCACATTTAAAATTGAAAGTCACACCATGGCCATGCCCTTCACCAGTCTCTTAAACCACCTCACAGCCGCCACAAACACTATTTATTTTTACTGAATTTAAATGAATTTTGGGAGCCTTGGATAACAAAAACACTGAATATTCTTTCCTTTTTCACAGGCCTTTGAAATGGTCCTTTTTGTCTGTTCAGAGCCACCATCCGCCACCATTCATATTCAACCAATGATCTTTGCATATTCAGTAG